GGGTTTTTTTTTATTTTAGAGCTGAGATGGATAGAATTACTTAAAGGGATCAGGATTATGAGATAAATGTCATGGACCACCATGGTCTCATTTTATGTAAGATGCGGTAGAGGAGGAAACACTTGTAACATTGGAGAAGTATTTAGATGTGCACTTGTGATGCCAAAGCATACAAGGCAATGAGCCAAGTGCTGGAAAATGGGATTAGAATAGTTAGATGGTTATTTTGGACCAGCACGAACTCAATGGGCTGAAGGGCTGTACTATAGATGCCTATGACTTTATCTATGACTCAGGTTTGCAGACAGTAGCATGTGAGGAACCAGCCAGGAGTGCACTGGAAGACCGAGACCAGAGTTAACAAAGGCATGAAGGAGGGTTTCAGGTGAGCTGAACCAGGGGTGAAGGTAAGTGGTGCTACGGATGTAGGCATAGGTGAATCTGTCCTAGATTTCCCACGTAGATGTGATAGTCAAGAAGGTACAACAATGCTGCTTCTTCCTCAGGCAGCTCAGGAAATTTGCCATGTCCATAAGGTCCTCACCAACTTTTACAGATGCACCACTGAAAGCACACTGTCCGGGTGCATAACAGCCTGGTACGGCAACTGCTCTGCCCAGGACAGCCCTGTCCATCGCACCCCGGTAATGATCTCTTACAACCCCTTCCATCAGGCAGTAGATATAGAAACCTGAACACATGCACAAGCAGGTTCAGGAACAGCTTCTTCCTGGCCATTATCAGACTGATGAATGGATTCTCTGGCCTCAAGTAATGCTGATCTTGCTAACGTTGATCTTGTGTAGCGCACGCCCTGTGTAATCTAACCTGTATGCCTCTGTCTAAATATTTTTGATCTGTACATCCTTTGGTTACTTTGATCTGCCTGTACCGCTCATAAACAAAGCTTTTCACTGTATTTTGGTACATGTGACAATAAATCAATCAATCAATCAATCAAATAGGAAATTGAAAGCTCTCTGAGCATCAGCTGTAGCACCAAAATTGCACAGAGACTAGTTTAGTCTCAGATTGTTGCAAGGGAGAAGGGTACTCTTGGTAACTACAAAATGGAGTTTGGATTGGGGTCCAAAACCATTGGTCTAAATCTTCTGGTCACTGGATCCAACAACACACCCACTGCTCAGCCTTTTTACTCAATCATTCATTCATTGAGGCAAGAGAGGGAGAGGGAGAGAGAGGGAAACAAACAGAGACACAGAAGGTGGGAGACGAATGGAAATTAACACCATAAGTATCAAAGAAACTTCAAACAAACTGGACTGGGATCTCTTTTGATAATAAAGATAACAAGGAGCTAATGATCCTCTACTCAACAGCAAGCTGACCCCAGTGTATTATATCCCAAACTACAGGCACATTTTTTGTTTTTGTCTTGGAAGAATACACGAAGGATTCGGGTAAATAGTCAGTTTCAACTCTGCTGGAGTTGACTAGTAGGACTGAACACTCTTGTATACCAGTCTGTGTTTGAGCATCAGTATGCTTTGATGCCCACTGGTCATCCTTGTGTTGCAGATAAAGACTCTCTCATTCTGAGTGCTGCAAACCAGTTACAAGAGTAGATCCAGGTTGTAGGCAATGCAATTAGCCAACAAAACAATGAATCTCAAAACAAAATACTGATCAATGATCAATATCATTGCTACCAGTAACCTCCAGGGTAATGAGCACAAGCTTCAACTATCCTCTTTTCATGAACAATACAGAGAGTGATCTACGTATCCTTTTTTGTTTAAATTTTATCTTTTGGACTCAGCTCTTGTTCCTAATCTGTGTGAATGTATGTTGTGTCAGTATTTCTTCTCCCGTATAGTAATTAATAAACTGACTGTTTGTTAACTCAAGAAAGCCTGGATTTAATTGGCTCCTTTGTGAAATAGAACTTGATTTGAGTCTGGGAGAAAGATGTGTGCGATGGAAGGGATTCTTTTTAAATGAACCTTGTTGCATCCAACCAAAGAGGCAAGTGAATAAAGAAGGCAACCAATTCATTGTTCCTCTCCTGGGAACTCTACAATTTGGGGTAACTTGTCTCAAATCATAACTCAATCAGGGAAACCTCACCCAGGGTCTAGTCGTAACATTCTGCTTTCGTTAACAGTCATGCTGGGCAGTGAGGCCTATCTCACTGCAGCCGGTGACATAAATGGGAGAATGTGTCTTAGAACTGTTAGAATCTCTACAGTGTGGAAACACACCCTTTGGCCCAACAAGTCCACACCGACCATCCCACCCGGACCCAATCCGCTGTTACCAACCTAAATCTACACATCCCTGAACACTGTGGGCAATTTAGCATGGCCCATCCACCCAGCCTGCACATCTTTGGACTGTGGGAGGAAACCCACACAGACACAGGGAGAATGTGCAAACTCCACACAGACAGTCGCCTGAGGCTGGGATTGAACCCAGGTCCCTGGCACTGTGAGACAGCAGTGCTAACCACTGAGCCACCGTACCACCCCTAACAACCACTTCCTCACTGATTCTCTTTGCTACTCTCTGCAAGGTTTCCCTATCTGAGGGAATCCTCCTTCACTGTGGATTAGAAGTTGGTGATTGTTTTTGATGTATGTGGGTCAGTGGGTCATTGTCCGTTTGAGGACCAATGGGTCCTGACACTGATTGGAAGATTTGGGCCAATGGGCTTGCCCAGTATTTAACTGGAGGGAATTTCCGCTCACAACAGTAAGATGTCATGGAGTCAGTTAGCAACAGTGCAGGAGAGAGGGCTAGAGCTGGCCGCCATCAGCAAACACTGACGCAAACTCCATGCAAAGTAGAAGATGTTGTGGAGATACGGAGATGAAACATTGATTGGCAGCAAGGACTGGGTTGTGGTCGTGAGAATGTTACTGCACCTTTACCGTGGAGGAATGATACCACACAGAGAACTGAAGCTCTGAAGAACAGTAATTCCAGTCTCGAAATGCTAGCCCTGCTTTTCTCTCTCCATGGATCCTGCCAGACCTGCTGAGTTTCTCCAGCATTCTCTGCGCTTCTTTACAGCAAGGGGCCTTTTGGCTCATTCTGCCTATGCTGGTTTTCCAAAAGAACAGTCCACTAGTTCCAATGCCCCTTTCTGCACAGCTCTGCAAATGTTTCCTGTAAGCCTTTTTCCAATTTCCTGTTGAGAGTTCCTAGAGTCATAGAGTCACAGAGTCATACAGCATGGAAACAGGCCCTTCAGTGAAATTCATTCATGCCAACCCAACTTAAACTAGGCCCATTTGCCAGCCATTGGCCTATATCCTTCTAAACCTTTCCTATCCATGTACCTGTCCAAATGTCTTTTAAATGTTGTAATTGTACCTGCATCTACCACTTCCTCTGCCAGCTCATTCCACATATGAACTACCCTCTGTGTGAAAAAGTTGCCCTTTAGGTCTCTTTTAAATCTTTCCGCTGTCACCTTAAACCTATGCCCTCTAGTTTTGGACTGCCCTACCCTGGGGAAAAGACCTTGGCTATTTACCCTTTCCATGCCCCTCATAGTTTTATAAACCTCTATAAGGTCACCCCTCAGGCTCCAACATTCCTATTGAATCTGCTTCCAATGCCCTGTCAGACAACACATTCCAGATCACGACAACTCACTGAATCCAAAAACATAATTCTCATTACTCCTTCTAGTTCTTTCAGCAATTGCCTTAAACCTGTGGCCTTTTGGTTACTGCTCTTCCAACAACATGCCACATACTCCACTTATTTATTCCAGAGACCTTCATTAAACCTTCCCCTTCACTTTCTCTGATTGAAGATGATCCAGGTCAGTCTCTCCACTTTCTCTGGATAATCACAGAACCATGGAATTTGCTATGGAGGTCATTCAGCCCAATGTGCCTCCCCAAACAAGATCATTACCTAGCGCCTGTCTCCTCCTTTTTCCCCATTACCCTGCATACTATTTCCATCCAATGCCCCTTGTTATGGACCAGACCAAACCCCCTCAAAATATTCAGGAGATAGTCTAGACCCTAATTTTTCTTATTTTAAATATAAGGTATTGCATTCCAGATGCAATTTGATTGATCAAACTACTGGATTTGAAGTAAAAAACCGGTAATTCATCCACCATAGTTAGAATACAACAAAAGAAAGAAAGAATTGGAATAACTTAACTCTATTGGAAAACTTAACAAAACAATAGATACAGTAACAATTACTAACTAACTATTACAATACAGTAACATCCCACAAACACACCCTTGGCAAAAGGCAAATTCAGGAAAACAGACTGTCTCATGTGTAACTCCCATAGCAGCAGAGGAGGAAGAAAATGCAGAGAAAATTCAGACAGAGAGTATAGCAGCTGGGAAAGATTCACTGCCGTCCAGCTCTGCTGAGACCCCAGAAATGACTGTGACTGAAAAAAACCAAAGAAACTAACAATCCTGGTTCCGTGAGTGGGAGCTTGACCACACCCATTCAGGCTGCTTCTATTATTCCAACTTTTAAAAAGTACCAAGGCCTCACATGCTGTTTTCTTTCTTACAGATTACTCAACACTTCTCATTCAATCTCTTGTTTAAAGAAAACCAGGCCAAAATAACTTCTTAAAGCTACTGCACCACCACACCCTCTAGAATGCCTCAACTGAACTTGCCCTCACCAGATTTCCAGGCAGCGTATTCCACACCCTAACCACTCGCTGGGTGAAAATGTTTTATCTCACATCATCCTTGCTTCTTTTGCACATCGCCTCTTGTTCTTGTTTCTTTATGAGTGGGAACAGCTTCTCCCTATCGCCTCTGTCCAGCCCCCACTCGTGGTTTTGTAAAATCTGTAGCAAGCTGCCTTCTCTCCCAGGAGAACAGTCCAAACGTCTTCAATCCCTCCTCATTACCAACGTTTCTCACTCCTGGAACCATGTAAATCGTGTCTGCACTTTCGCCCATGCATTCACGTCCTCCCTACAAAGTTGCGCCCAGATTCAGTGAATCAGGGTCAGCTGGGCCAGGCTCAATGCCCCTTACCTGATGGGTGCAGTCTCATCTCCCTTGTCCAGCCAATCCTGTGGTGGGATGATGTACATGCACCACAGCCCCCAGTTGTAGCCGTGGGCTGCATTAGCATACTGCTGCACTTCAAACGTGTTGTACTTGATGTTGTCTATTGCTGGTAGAATGATACGAGTGCGGTCTTCCTTGATTCTACTCAGGACTGGTTGGACCCTGCAGAGAAAATGGAAAGGGACTGGTCAGATATGTCATTGCCATTCTCCGTAACGTCTATGCTACATGCCTTTGTTATGATAGATATTGTTGTTGCAGCTAAAGGGATCAAAGGGCACGGGAAGAATTTTGGATCAGGGGATTGAATTAGATCATCAGCCATTACCATAATGAATGGAAGAGCAGGCTCACAGGGCCAAATGGCCTATACCTCTTCCTATTTTTCGATGCTTCCATGTCACTTGCAGAGTTGAGTGTTGTAATGCCCAACCGGTTGTGAATATAGATTCATTCCAAAACTCTGCTGCCTTTATCCCAACTTGCACTGGTCCAAGGCCTACCAGCCTCGCTAACAGCTTCCCAGTCTGGTAACACCTTGACTTTAAAATTCTCATCCTTGTTTGTAAACACCCTATTTAGGCATTACCCCTTCTGATCCCAACAACCTTCTCCAGCCTTACAACTTATGGAGATATCCATCCTGCTTTGAATCTGGCCAATTGAACATCCTCAATTTTAATCACTGACAGCTTCTGTCTCTTTTAAGCTCAGGACTTCCCTCTTTAAGCCTCTCTGTCACCCTCCTTACTCCTTTAAACCTCTCTGTCGCCCTCCTTATTCCTTTAAACCTCTCTCTTTGATAAAGGTTTCGGTCACCTGTCCTAATAGCTCCTTATGTGGGCCTGTTTTCACTGGAATAAAACCCAGTAACACAGTCACAGTATCTGCAAACTCTTACAGAACAATCCACAAACAAAGCTTCAGTTTTGATCTGCAGCCTGAGTATGTGAATCAAGGCAAGAACCAACACTCCTCTATTGGAATACAACTTTTCACAGTCACTCACTGGGATGGTCACGCTGAGTGATAGGCATCACCAAGGAATGTTCACTCACTGGGATGGTCACTCTGAGGGACAGGCATTGCTATGGATGGTCACTCACTGGGATGGTCACTCTGAGGGACAGGCATCACCAAGGATGGTCACTCCCAGAGATTGTCATCCCAGAAATAGTCACTCCCAGGAATTGTCACTCCAAGGCATAACCATTGCAAGGATGATCACTCCCTGGGATAGTCAGTCCCAGGGATGGTCACTCCCAGGGATAGTCACTCCCAGGGATGGTCACTCCCAGGGATGGTCATTCCCAGGAATGGTCACTCCGAGACATAACCATTGTCAAGGATTGTCACTCATTGGGATGATCACCTCCTTTACAATTCCCTTTAGGTCCCGTAGCCAGTATTTCTGGGCTCTGGACATTACTGTGGGAGGTGACTGGAAGAGACCATACCTCTAACTGACCCTGAACATTTTCATCCTGAGGTTAGTGTTTTGGACGCAGTCAAATCCCAGCTGAAAGCATTGTGATACTGTCAGTAGACTCACAATTCCAAAGCCCCAGGCTAATACTGTTTGGATGGTAGTTTGATCCAACAAAAGAGGTAAAATTTAAAATTAACTAAGAAATCTGGAATATAAATTTAATTTCTGCAATGGAAAACATGACAACTATCATTGATTGTCATTAAAATCCCATCTGGTTCACCAATGTTCACCTTTTGGGGAAGGAAATGTGCCATCCTTGCCTAGTCTGGCCTAGACGTGACTCCAGACCCATGGCAATGTGCCTAACTCTTAACTTTTCTTTGAAATGGTCCAGTGAGACACTCAGTTCAAGGGCCATTAGGGATGAGCGACAACTGCTGAGTTTGACAGTGAGGCCAAAATCCCTTGAAAGAATTAATTTTTAAAAATTGTTCCCAATTAATTGCTGTTGAAAAACAACACTCTTACCCTTCACAGTTAAATGGACCCAAATAGGCAACTTAACCAGTTTCTCCCCTTAATATAGAAAGTATTTTTTAAATACAAGTAAGTTGAAAAGCAGCTGTTAATTAGGTGGAAAAAATTTCTAAAGTACAATGTTTGAGCAGCTTTGATTGATCATACTTATATAGTTTAAGCATTCAATTTGATCCAATTAGGAAAATGTTTTAAGAAACTGCCTACAAATAATTTTGATAGAATTGTGCCAATTGTTTAAACATTCCCACAGCTTTCATAATAAACCTTGACTAATCATATCATTTAAAAGTGGGGTGTCAGATCGTGTAGATTTGCTGTCATCTATTGTCTTGCGACCACCGACCCTAATAATCTCAAAAGGAGCAAAGTATTCAGTGAGGAAATGAGGGTTTAAGATCTGCAGTTACACCATCAACACTGGCTTAAGTAAAATCCAATCACCTTCATAGTCAGAAGGAAAGATACAAGATCAAAAATAAAATTGCTGCATGCGGAACTCTCTTCAATTCTCTAATCTGCTAATTAAATGTGGAAACACCTGCATTTATGTAGCAACTTCAGGATGTCACAAAGTACTTTATGGTCAATAATGCCCTTGTGATGCATAGTCACTATTCTATCATTAGAAAAGCAGGAGCCAATTTGTGGACAGCAAGCTCCCACGAATAACAATGTGATAATGAGCAGACTGCCATCGCCAAAGACATTCACTCCCAGGGACGGTCACTCCGAGGAACGGCCATCGCCGAAAACATTCACTCCCAGGGACGGTCACTCCGAGGAACGGCCATCGCCAAAGACATTCACTCCAAGGCGTGGTCACTCTGAGGAACGGCCATCGCTAAAGACAGTCACTCCCAGGGACGGTCACTCTGAGGAACGGCCATCGCTAAAGACGGTCACTCCCAGGGACGGTCACTCTGAGGAACGGCCATCGCTAAAGAC